GGACAGGGAGTAAGTGAGTTTTGTGAGCAGGATTCACTAGGATTCTTAGGACAGGGAGTAAGTGAGTTTTGTGAGCAGGATTCACTAGGATTCTTAGGACAGGGAGTAAGTGAGTTTTTGAGCAGGATTCAATAGAATTCTTAGGACAGGGAGTAAGTGAGTTTTGTGAGCATGATTCACTGGGATTCTTAGGACAGGGAGTAAGTGAGTTTTGTGAGCAGGATTCACTGGGATTCTTAGGACAGAGAGTAAGTGAGTTTTGTGAGCAGGATTCACTAGGATTCTTAGGACAGGGAGTAAGTGAGTTTTCTGAGCAGGATTCAATAGAATTCTTAGGACAGGGAGTAAGTGAGTTTTCTGAGCAGGATTCAATAGAATTCTTAGGACAGGGAGTGAGTGAGTTTTGTGAGCATGATTCACTGGGATTCTTAGGACAGGGAGTAAGTGAGTTTTTATTGTTTTATTGGACACCTATGCACATATATTTTATTCAAATTTAGATTAGTAAATTCTCAATAGTTTATACTCAACATTATGTCCATGATTTAGCAAACAAAATTCTGACCACTAGATGGCACTAATAAATGATGAGAGGGTGGACCGTTTAATATTTTCATTCTCAGCGAGAGTAGCTGTTGTACACCATCTTGGTTTGTTTGCAAGCATTTCTTTCCTCCAGCAAAGATAACACGAGTTACAAAGATAGTTCCCATACTTACAGGATCAAACACTCTTGATGAACTTTTACATTCCTGCGTGATGCCGAAACAAAAACAGCTGGTACATCCCTTTGGATTGCGTTCTTCTAAATAAAATGTTCCAACTTTACATTTGTCACATCGTACACCTTCAACATTCTCCTGCAAAAAGAGCCATTATCAGTTGAAGTTTTCAGATCACATGGGTTGTGGAAAGTAGTAACTTTCTATCCTCGGGGACGGACATCCGGGCATTTTCACCACCTGGCAACCATCACGGTGAAAACAAAGCCAGAACTGTGTATAAACAAGATTACCCCTGCGTGTCTAACATATATCAATTTGGTTGTCCAGGATTACTTCAAAGTTGATTTTGTGCTGTTTTCTCGAATATAGCTATTTTCACCGGCTCCTCAACTGGCGTTCCACAACAGCTCGCGCAATGCCCATAAAAATACGTGGTACAGTGGTGCGCGTCTTAGCAACGTGGAATGTCCTGTGACATAGCTACGCCCCCGAGCATAGTAAAACATTCAGTTTTCTCTAAAATGATAGATGCTGTTAAATCTCACCTTACACAGACAGGCTGATGACCGTTGATCGCAAACATCTGAGGTTGTTCCCCTGAGATCGCATGTACATGGTACACACCTAGGATGGTTGAAATAACCTGCTTTGCATACGTCACATTGACGACCGCCGACATTCGGAAGACAACTAGAAAAAGTAGTAGATTTTTTTTCCTGTTTATGAACTTGGCATAAGATAATAACACATTATTTTCTCAAAAATCAGATTCATTACAAAAAAAATAATGCGATTTCCTCAAAAATATTAAAGCGTCAAATGACATAGCGTTTCATTGTTTACAAACAAGTGTCTACCAGTGAGCCTTTGCTTTTTAGCATGTGTTGTTATCAGCACTTGGGACACAATTCTCGCATGTACGCAGGTGACAACCCTCCCCATTTAATACCACACCCTGTAAAGCAATCTACCACAAAATGTATAGTTTTCATGAAACTGTATCAAGTTAAAGGAAACATACTTGCATTGTCCATTCACGAGGTCACAGTTCAAATCACCAAGTACACCTTTTGGGTCACAGTCACACTCCTATAAACACAAACATTGTTGTTAGTGATGGTTATTTATTTCATGACATATACTGAAGATCAACCAACAATGAGACAAAAACAAATTTCTAAAAATCTTGAAAAGTCACAAATACTGTAAAATGATTAATTTTCACTGGGTTTAAATTTCGCTGATTTAGCATTGTTGTATTTTGTACGCAGTTCAAAATTGCTAATTATTCATTTGCATACTTGTCATTTGCATAACTTTGTTTGTTTGTTTAATTTCTCCACTGCGCATGTTTCTTGTAGCCATTCGCTTCGTTCTGTGTACATGCACTGTTTACATCGCACGCTGTTCGTGCCCAGTCATTTCTGTTCGGGTTATTTTCAATTTACTTTCTCGCTATGCCAAGAAGTAAGCGGCGCTCAATATGCTCAAGCTCGATGTGGAAGCTCACACCTGGGGCAAGCACGGAAAATTCTGCACCGGTCCACCACCGGAGGAAGAGAATTGCCGTTCACCGAACAGCTCAACTGCTGTCTCTAAGTCGTCTCCTTCCACCTCAAAGCACCGACGTCACTCGCCCACAGTCTCACACGCGGAACCACATGGATATTTTGACGAGTTTTCAGACGGGAATGAAGACGACCAAGCCGAGTTAGTTATTTTGCAGCGCCGGAAACAATCCTTGTTGGCGAGAATCGCGAAGCCAAAATTACAGGCGGAAATCTCCCAGCTTGAAATGGAATTCAAAAGTTGTTCCTTGAACGCACATCCACCAACCATAGGCCTATCATCCACGCGCCAACAGGGCACATCGTCTTCTGATCACCAAATCTCTGACATTTCACTAGCGGATCTTCGCAAAATGACTAATCTCCGATCGCAGGTTGATCACGATTCGTCACCATACTTCGACGCCATTGGAGCGAACAAAGGACACGAGGCTGAGAACAAAGGACCAGCCGGTGAGTACATTATTCGCGACAGTCTCGTTAATTCCCCCGGGCGCCACGCCGGGAAAAGTTGCCTG